CACTCCCTCACTCACTCACACACACACACACACACACTTACTCACTCACTCACTCACTCCCTCACTCACTCACACACACACACACTCACTTACTCACTCACTCACTCACTCACACACACACACACTCACTTACTCACTCACTCACTCTCTCTCACTCACTCTCTCTCACTCACTCACTCACTCACTCCCTCACTCACTCACACACACACACACACTTACTCACTCACTCACTCTCTCTCACTCACTCTCTCTCACTCACTCACTCACTCCCTCACTCACTCACTCACACACACACTCACTCACTTACTCACTCACACACTCACACACACACACACACACTCACTTACTCACTCACTCACTCCCTCACTCACTCACACACACACACACACACACACACTTACTCACTCACTCACTCACTCCCTCACTCACTCACACACACACACACTCACTTACTCACTCACTCACTCACTCACTCACACACACACACACTCACTCACTCACTCACTCACTCACTCACTCACACACACACACACACACTCACTTACTCACTCACTCACTCTCTCTCACTCACTCACTCACTCACTCTCACTCACTCACTCACTCTCTCACTCACTCACACACACTCACTCACTGTCTCACTCTCTCACTCACTCACTCACTCGCTCACAGACTCACTCACTCACACACTCACTCACTGTCTCACTCACTCTCTCACTCACTCACTCACTCACACACTCACTCACTGTCTCACTCACTCTCTCACTCACTCACTCGCTCACAGACTCACTCACACACACACACACACACTTACTCACTCACTCACTCTCTCTCACTCACTCACTCACTCACTCACTCTCTCACTCACTCACTCACTCACTCACTCTCTCACTCACTCGCTCACAGACTCACTCACTCACACACACACACACTTACTCACTCACTCACTCTCTCTCACTCACTCACTCACTCACTCACTCACTCACTCACTTACTCTCTCACTCACTCACTCACTCACTCACACACACACTCACTCACTGTCTCACTCACTCTCTCACTCACTCTCTCACTCACAGACTCACTCACTCACACACACACACACACACACACACACTCACTCACTCTCTCACTCACAGACTCTCTCTCTCACTCACTCACAGCACTTTTGAGTCTGTACAGTATGTCCTGTACACTATGGACTGTACGCACACAGACAGAGTAAATACGGCACTGTTTGTCCTGGAGTCTGTGAGAGTTCACGTGTGTTTCAGTGGTTTTCTATGTGATTTCACAGGACAAATGTTTGTGCATGTTGTCCTTCCTTCACGTGTGTGTGTGTGTGTGTGTGTCAGCAGTGTCCTGCGGTGATTTGACTCTCCATTCGCTGTCCATTAGCTGCGTTTCACCCGCTATACGTCGACAGTGGACTGACCCCTCTGAGATGTTCTGGCCGAAGCCCTCGTCATGCGTGCCAGCGTTGGCTAGCAACAGGCTAGGATTGAATCCGGCGTCTCCGGAGGAACTCAGTAGGATGAGGAATTTGTTTTGACACAAAGACGAGCCGCAGTTGGTATGGATAATATATTGAATAGTATTTAGTTTGCTTAACAAACATGCTACTTATTATCAATGGAGCTAGTAAAGCGGACTCGTCTCGCACCGTTTGTTGGCAATGTGCCAATTCATGCTACCAGCATGCTTAAATGTGCTAGCAATGTTGTAAAACATGCTAACTCATGCTAGCAACATGCTAACATGCCTGCATTATGTTAAATCCTGCTAGCAAAATGCTAATTCACACTAGCAATATGCTAATTCATGCTAGCAATCAGTTTAAACTTAGCAGCATCCTTAATCGTGGAGCAACGTGCTAAAACATGATAATTTGTGCTAGAGATGTGTTAGTAGCATGTTAAATCATGTTAGCAACATGCCAATTCATGTTAGCAAGGTGTCAACATATGCTAACAACATGCTAATTAATGTTAGCAAACCTGTTGATATCTCTAAGAGCATGCTAACTCATGCTATCAATCTGCTAATTCATGCTAGTAACATGCTTAAACACTAGCAATGTACCAACCCAGATAGCAAACTGACATTGAATCAACGTGGAAATATGACATCGAAACAACGTTGATCTGACATTGTTTTGCTCATCGAATTAACGTTGAACCAACGTCAGATGCGTCATTCTTTCAAAACTAACGGAAAATCAACTTGAAATCAACGCGTTGTTTCAATGTTATGAAAGCAAACCAATTTTCGATTTTCATTTAGCTTTGAAGAATGCCGCGTCTGACGTTGGTTCAACGTTAATTCGATGAGCAAAATCAACGTTGTTTCAATGTCATGAGCGACGTCGTTTCCACGTTGATTCAATGTCAGTTTGCTGTCTGGGAAAACATGTTGGCAAATATGCTAAAACATTAACAATGTGTTTATTACAACAAAGCAGCATAATAACAATTTGGTAAGACATGCTATTAACATGATGATTCATGCTAGCAGTCTACTAAAACATGCTAGGAAAATGTAAACTAATGCTAGACAAATGCCAAGACATGATAAAAACATGCTAGGAAGCTTATTCAACTTTGTCAAGCCAACATTAAAGTTTGTTTCAGCAAACTTTACTTTCTGGTTTTAGTTAGTTTTTTTTATTTATTTTATTTCAAGTAACAGAAATGGTTTAATGGTTTTAGTCAACTATAATAATCTTAGTTAGAGTAACAATATCACTACTTTTCATCCTCAGACTCCTGATTTTGTAGATGCAAATAAAAATCCCAACTCAGATCAGTGCTGACGCTCCTCTCATAACCATGACAACCACAGAGGGACGTCTGCCAGCTGACCCCAGATCAGTCAGGCCGTGAGCTCGACCCTGCAACGCCCTATAAATCAGAACCAGGTGACAGAAACTCGCGGCGCTCCAGAATCAAATATCCAGAGTCGTCTGTCTCCACCATCACGTCTTCCTGTCTGTCTGCTGTCGACGTGTTTGTTCAGAACGCTTGCCAAGCGCCAGAGCCGTCGGGATATAAACATTCCAGTGAGCGTTCGCCTGCGTTTGCGTGCGAGTCCAATCTTCTGACCTGACCCGAGAGAGTCCGGCACCTTGCACCTGTTTTGATCATTTCTTAGTGCAAAACAACTCTCTCACACACTCACTCTCACTCTCTCTCTTTTTGAGGAAAACATTCCAGGATGTTTCTCCATATAGTGAGTTCAATGGGGTCCAACGGGTCGAAGGTCCAGATGTGAGTTTCAGTGCAGCTTCAAAGTCTCGACACGATCCAGCCGAAGAATAAGAGTCTGATCTAGACAAACCAGCCAACATTTTATATATGTTTATATATATATATATACTGTATATAAATGTATATACTTTTAACCACAAATGCTGGTCTTGCACTCGCTGTGATGCGACGCACATTACATAATCACGTTGAAAGGTCACGCGTGAACTAATACTTTAAAGTATGAATCTAACACAACTGAGTGAGTTTTAATGATGTTTACATGCAAGTCTCATTTTCCCTCGTTTTCCGACTCTTCTTTTGGCCGACTTATTTCCCTGAATCCCTTAGGCAGGAATTCCTCTGTCCGTATCAAGTTGCTCTCTCTCCCCGTCTCTGTTGTTTGTCTGTGAGTCTCATAATGAGAGTAATCTTTTCTATACACTTGGTTTGTGAGTATATAATGCGAGTTTGTTATAATTATACACTTGGTTTGTGCAGTGTATGAACCTGAGCTGTGTTTACACACATTACACATGCGCTCCGCTGAGGTCATGAGCTAAACTTCACTCTGAACCCGTTTACACGCACACTCGCAAACACAGCGTGTCGCTTTTATTAATGTGAGTGGTTTGCTGTGTGAAGAGTTGCTTTCTCTCTCATGTGGATCTAAGAACAGAGTCCAGGCTGTGTCTATACACTCGGCCTAATGGGTAAACACACAACGCAACTGGGAGAAATGAGTGTGTTTGAGAACATTTGCATGCATCACATCTAACGTGTCATCAATACACGTAAAAACGTGTTCAGAGTGAACGTTTGCGTTGAAAGTTTTTTCATTGGTCCAACTGGAACCAAATCCCAAGTAGAGCACTAGTGTTGTTATTGTTAATATCTAAAACTATTTGAAACCCTACGTTAACTGAAATAAAGCTAAAATAAAATGTATATGGGACACATGTCTTGATTATTTCAGTCAGACCAATTGCCACAGGTGTATAAAGTCAAGCACTAATCCCTTCAGTCTGCATTTACAAACATTTCTGGAAGAAAGTGTTGTTCTGAAGGGCTCAGTGAAGTCAAAGATGTAATTGGATCAGCCAGTTTTTCATATTTCATATTTCGTCCCTGCGACATATTCAACTATAAGTGGTATTATTGGAAAGTGGATGCATTTTAAAACAGCAGCGAGACCAAACCGTAAGTCGTAGAGAGTTGAAACTTTGAGGGATGGTAGTACTCACACCCTCTACACCGACACCAAATCTCGTCCCAATCGGCCTGATGGTGGCGCTACGGGGACCAAAAGTATGTAATGGCTTGTAACTCCTAAGGCGTTCATCGCAGACTCGAGTGTCTTGTATCGTTGGGATCCTTGGGGAAATTTTCAGGTGTTTAGTTTTTAAAACGGGTTCATGTTAGCGGCGGTGTCATGTTAACTTTATCTGGACAGTAACTTTATTCTATCTCTTACTGTAATCTCCTGTTATCACTGTAAATAAACGCTATATTATTAAAAGCTCTGTATAAATGAAGGTGACTATTGACTCTATTGTGTATTGCATCTTATTGTTTTTTTATTGTTTTATTCATCTACCCCATCTTTGAGAGGAATGGATAAAATAAGAATTTAATTATGTTAATTACAGATGACAGTTAATCTTGAAATGGTGTGGACGAATTATCACACAGACACACACACACACACAGTCGGATATGTTGAACTGGTATTGATGAGCTAGTGTGTGTGTGTGTTTTCAGGATCTGTGCGGCCATCACTCGTGTGATACTCTCGGCATGGCAGACGTGGGAACCGTATGTTCTCCGGAGCGGAGCTGCGCGATCATCGAGGACGACGGCCTTCACGCGGCCTTCACCGTGGCACACGAGATCGGTACACACACACACACACACACACACACATCAACAATCCACCTGCACCATAGACTGTAAAAAAAGAGAACTTTCTCTTCCATTGGTGAAGTGAAGCCGCCAAAGTCGTAGTTGTGAGTGTGTGTGGAGCCAACATATCAAGGTCCCACCCACTCTCACAGAAACGGTTACTACAAATTTTACTTCAGAGAGGCTGAAAAAAACAGTTATGGAGTCCAATCTCCTCCTGAAAATCCCCCAAAAGTCTGTTGGTGCCTCAGCTGTCAATCATGACGTCACATTCACGTTTTTACGCCAAACTTATTTAAACTTACATCAGCGTAATATAACTAGCTAAAATGTCAGAAAACATCTTTGGAAAAACTGTTTCTGAAGTGTAATTTGATTGTTTAGTTTCAATCGCATCCCATTAGACTACATGGGGAGGCGGGGTTTATGAGCTATACTGGGACCAGCCAATCGAGACGCTTCGGCTTCACTTGACCTGCACCTTGATGACATCACTTCCTGTGTGTGTGTGTGTGCGCAGGGCATCTGCTGGGTCTGTCCCACGACGACTCCAAGTTCTGCGAGGAACGCTTCGGCTCAAACGAGGACAAGCGCCTGATGTCCTCCATCTTGACCTCCATCGACGCGTCCAAACCCTGGAGCCGATGCACATCCGCCACCATCACGGACTTCTTCGACGACGGCAACGGTGAGGAACCACTGTGACTCAATATCATATCACGGGAATGGTAACGATTCGATAGGATCAAATTCCAAATTGGCCTGTGATTTCAGGGATCTTGATTTTCAGAAATAATCTGGAGATCATGACGCATTATGTTTCTTAAATGGGTTGCAAATTGCATTTCGTGTTTAATTTCCAGCTTTATGTTGGTCAGTATTGATTTTGAGCTTGTCCAGTCTTAATTCAGTATTTTTTATCTATTGTTATTGTTTTTATGAACTTTTTGAATTTAGCGTTTATGTTTATTTATTCAGTTTTACTTTATTTTTAGTCATTTTGTTTGTGTTTTTTTTATTTTTTTATTTTATGTGCTTTTGTTATTTTTATACCTTTTAGTTAAAAAAATATTTTAGCTTGGTTTCAGTTTGAATTTTAAATATGTAATGGTTATGTGGCCAATTAGTCTTATTTCATTGCTATTATTGATTTCTGAAGGATCATGTGACACTGAAGACTGGAGTAATGATGCTGAAAATTCACAGGAATAAATTACACTTTACTATATATTCACTCAAAAAAACACTATTTTAAAGTGTAATAATATTTCACAATTTTGACTGTATTTTAGGGTAAATAAATACAGACTGATTTCACACTTTTATATATATACTGTATATATATAATGAAAATGACCATATTAACCAGTGTTGAATGTGCACACAGTTTTATAATTTCTCCACTAATGTCTTGACATCTTCCTCTTGTGGTGTGTGTGTGTGTGTGTGTGTAGCCGAGTGTTTGCTAGATGTCCCCCGTCTGCCTCTTCTGGGTCCCGAGGAGCTCCCGGGTCAGAGTTACGACGCCGTCCAGCAGTGCCGCTTGGCCTTCGGGCTCGAGTACACCGTGTGTCCCGGCATGGACGTGTGTGCCCGCCTGTGGTGCGCCGTCATCAGGAAGGGCCAGATGGTGTGTCTGACCAAAAAACTGCCCGCCGTCGAAGGAACGCCGTGCGGGAAGGGAAGAATCTGTCTACAGGGGAAGTGTGTGGACAAGACCCGAAAGAGACACTACTCGGTAAGACCCGAGCTCAGAGAAAAAGCCTTCAAACTCCAAACTTTAAACATCTTCAGAACACAAATGAAGATATTTGTGATTAAATCTGAGCGCTGGATCACTCCTCCATAGGCTTCTATTGTAATTGAAACTTGCCGGCCCAGAAAGTTATTAAAGAATCGTAAAAATAGTCTGAGTGACTACAGTGGCTACAGTCAATTACAATAGAAGCCTATGGAGGAGTGATCCAGCTCTCAGATTTAATCCCAAATATCTTCATTTGTGTTCTGAAGATGAACGAAAGTCTTACAGGGAGAGTCATTACTGACAGAGTTTACATTTCTGGGTGAACTATCCCTTTAAGACTGCTTCAAACTTTCTGAAGCCAACAGTGTTTGTCCCCCTAGTCAACAATTGTTTCCCTTAAAACTCATCTTTGATCACCAAAATGACATAAATGTGGACTAGACCCGAAAGAGACACTCCTCTGTGAGACCAGAGCTCAGATGTGATGCTGGGAAATTAGAAATGACTTGCTTTTTACCAATTTAGAGCTATTGCACATTTAATGCAAGAATTACAACCAATGCAATGCCACTAAAGTGACACATTCCTTATTAATTATGCATAAAAAGTGACACCGATCTGACACGGAAACAGCTTAGTTTTGTCTTAATGATGGAGAACGGTTGGTAATTGTCAGAGAAGTCTATCAAAAGGGTAGTTTAATAGTTAAAAAAATGTAATGAAATAGTTGGTGCATTATTTTATTGATAAAAACATGATAAAGGGATGCATTTTAAAACAGCAGCGAGACCAAACCGTAAGTCGTAGAGAGTTGAAACTTTGAGGGATGGTAGTACTCACACCCTCTACACCGACACCAAATCTCATCCCAATCGGCCTGATGGTGGCGCTACGGGGACCAAAAGTAAGTTGGTAATTGTCAGAGAAGTCTATAAAAAGGATAGTTTAATATTTCAAAAATGTAATGAAATAGTTTGTGCATGTGCATGTAAATAAACCTTGCTCGGTAAGACCTGAGCTCTTAAAACTGCTTCAAACTCCAAGCTTTAAGCATTATTTGAAACTTAAAAAAGTTTTTAAGTTTCAAGGTTCAAGTATTTTAAACCTACTTTCTCAAGCCAACCGTGATGCGTTTTATTTTCTCAGGATTCTTTGGTGGACAGAAAGCTCAAAAGAACAGCATTTATTTGAAATATAATCTTTTGTAACATTATAAATGTCCCTTTTTGACCAATTTAATGCATCCTCCTTGCTGAATAAATCTTTGCTGTTCGCCCTTCCTGACCCGAGCGTCTCTCTCAACACTGTTGTGTGTGTGTCAGGCTGTTCTGAGTTAACTTGATTAGTATCAAACACATTTAACCGGCAGGAATTTCCCATCCTCTCGGCTGGCCGGTCGGGTATTTTTATCCGAGACTCAGAGATCATTAAGTGTTTTAAGGACTCGTTTTGGTCCCGATGAAGAATGCTGCCGTTGTGTGAGCATGTGTGTGTGTTTGTCGGAAATGCGGTTCTGGTGTCTGTTTTACACACCCTTCCTCTGGCTGAATGTCCAGTGTTCAGCTCTCTCGCTCGTTTCGGGTGTTTTTTGGCTTGTTTATTGCTGGTCAGTGAATGCATGTGCTCAGAAAACACTCGCTTCCGTCCCATCTTGGCCCATTCATGTCACTGAATTCTTCAGATGTTACACGAGATGTTAAAGCCCAACTAACACAAAAATTCTTTAAGAATTTTTTGTTAATGTTCCCGTTGAGTTATGAAAACATTATTTCTGAATGTTCTCCAAACATTTGAGTCATCCAGTGCTCATGAAAAAACAGTAAAAAGTGACACGCATTTTACAATTTTTGCAATGACTGGTTCTTGTTCACGTCCAAAAACTACATTCATTAAATTAAGTAAAATTACATTTAATGTACAGTTATGCACAGTAATTTACCGTATGTAGACGGAAACGTTCTGTTAACCGATTAACAGTTTTTCACTGTAGCATTTACAGTATTTTACCGTTAAAGTCACGATCATTGTTTTACCGTGTATATGTCTGATTATCTCCCATCGGTCATGTCTCATGAACCCTTTCTCTCTCTGTGTCGGTGTGTCAGACGTCGAACCACGGCAGCTGGAGCTCCTGGGGTCCGTGGGGTTCGTGTTCCCGTTCCTGTGGCGGCGGAGTCCAGTTTGCCAATCGACTCTGCAACAATCCTCCTCCCCGAAACAACGGACGCTACTGCACCGGGAAGAGAGCCGTGTACCGGTCCTGTAGCGTCACGCCGTGCCCTTCAGCCAGTGAGTGTCCTCACACACACACACACAGTTAAAAAATTCCAGTAAATTTTACGGTAAGAAACCTAGCTCACCAAAACTGGACAGTTGAAGACTGGAGAAATGTTGCCTGGTCTGATGAGTCTGGATTTCTGTTGAGACATTCAGATGATTTGGCGTTAAACAGAATGAGAACGTGGATCCATCATGCCTTGTTCCCACTGTGCAGGCTGGTGGTGGTGGTGTAATGGATGTTTTCTTGGCACACTTTAGGCCCCTTAGTGCCAATTGGGCATCGTTTAAATGCCACGGCCTACCTGAGCATTGTTTCTGACCATGTCCATCCCTTTATGGCCACCATGTCCCCATCCTCTGATGGCTACTTCCAGCAGGATAATGCACCATGAATCATTTCAAATTGGTTTCTTGAACATGTCAATGAGTTGACTGTACTAAAATGGCCGCCACAGTCACCAGATCTCAACCCAATAGAGCATCTTTGGGATTTGGTGGAATCTAAATCTCCATCAACTGCGAGATGCTATCCTATCAATATGGGCCAACATTTCTAAAGAATGCTTTCAGCACCTTGTTGAATCAATGCCACGGAGAATTAAGGCGAAAGGGGGTCAAACACAGTATTAGTATGGTGTCCCTAATAATCCTTTAGGTGAGTGTATTGAGTTATATTAATTAACTACATGTACTTAGATTAGGGTTTGGTTGAGGGTTAGTTGCATGTAATTATGCATAATTTACTGTAAGTAACAGGGACATTGTAAAATAAAGTGTTACCTTAAAATGAATGTTCATCTGTCCAATTAATATGTGTCGGTGTGTGTTTGTGTGTGTCAGGTAAGAGCTTCAGACAGGAGCAGTGCGAGGTGCGTAACGGCCCTCAGACGGACCCTAAAGGAGTGAAGACCTTCGTGGAATGGGTGCCGAAGTTTGCCGGCGTTCTTCCCAAAGACATGTGCAAACTCACATGCCGGGCCAAAGGAACGGGATACTACGTGGTGTTCGCACAGAGGGTGAGCACACACACTTCAGATAACCACTGAACATGTTGTGACAATCGTTACACCCCTAATAATTATGTTTTGTGATAATGTTTTGAGAACATTATTAAAGTCCAGATAACTTTAAACGAATGTTTATTCACATATAATGAGAACGTTTGAATGTTCTCTGAAAGTTAACCCCTTAACTGTCACCCCCCTTTTTGAGAATGGGGGTTAAAATGCAATATTCACACTTAAATGGTCGTAATTCATGAGTGCTTGGGAATATACCCAAGTTTGGTCTTGTTTTAAAGGAAACACTCAGGAGATTATTACTGAAGTGAAAACACTTAAAAAAATTAAAGTATGAAAAAGTTATGGAAGTTTAAATTCACAGTAAATCAAATATACAGTGTTATGTATTTTTTTATTTTATATAAAATATATATGTTACAAAATATGTTTTACTCTAAAATTACTATAAAATCAAAGCCATAAATCTAACTACGTTATATTCCAAGTTTGAAGTTGATATCACAAAAATTGAAGTTCCCATGAGATTTTGTTTAGGCGTAGTACCAAAAATAGCCACCGGGTGCCATTGAATTCCATTGAATTTAGTTGTATACATTCTGCCTTAACAAATTAATACATTTCTGTCCAAATATCACTTCTGTCACCTTGAGACTCGGACCTTTCTGACAATATGTGTTTTGTCAAGATTAGAAAAGGTTTTGATAATAAATGATGAAATATAATGAAGTATCAGCTTTCAAATGATACCTAATTTATGATAACTACTAAAATATGTGAAATAATAAAAAAGGCGATAAAAAATTATATTATATTTTAGAGGATAATATATATATTTGATAATTTTTAGAGGATAATATTATATTATCATTTTTTTATTGAAAGGGTTAGATTATATGTTTCATTATGAACTTTTAGCATAAAAACAGAAGTTTCAATGATTAAAAGTGGGTGCATCGACTTTTTGTGACAAAGGTCAGACCTCCTGTTATGATGCAGATTTTTTGAGGTGCACTCTTGTCATAAATTCATCAATTACTCTTCCTACATAATTTGTAACACGAAACAGGGATTGAATATTTATTTAGAAGTCTTCGACCTTTCCAACAATATATACTTTGTCATAATTAGATTAAGATTTAATAGAAATATAGTGAAGTAAATATAGGCGTCCTGGTACCGGGACGGTGACAGTTAAGGGCAACGTTACCGTGGAGAAACGGTGCATAATCTAATTACCTATGTGCTAATTTGCATAAATACCTCAACAGATCCAAACATTGGGAATATCCGGGTGAACGTGTGTTGTTTTCCGCAGGTCATTGACGGGACGGAGTGCCGGCCGTACAGCAGTTCGGTGTGTGTGCGAGGGAAGTGTGTTCGCACCGGCTGCGACGGCATCATCGGCTCCAAACTTCAGTTCGACAAGTGCGGTGTGTGTGGCGGCGACGGGAACGGCTGCATTAAAGTGGCGGGAAATTTCACCAAGAAGAGGTGAGGAAACACACACATTAGACACACACACTTCGCTGTGTAAACTCTATATGGAGCAGAGGAGCTGTTCCGCTGGGTCCTTCTAAAGCCAGTTTTACTTCAGTGTGTTCAGTATACGGTCATTTATTGTTAAAGTTTTAGCATTTTTAGTTTGAATGTTGATCATTTTTAAGTTATTCTATGTTTACTGAAGCGTCCCATTCATTCCTAAGGGGCTCAAATTGACCTGCGAGGGAAGGATTTGTTACTTTTTTTAAATTTCAACCACAAAAATTCTCTAATCTATTACATTTTTGTGTGTATTCGTGGTTCAAGTGCGATAAAAGTCCTGGGGTCTCCAATGGACACTCAATTTTTAGGGAAGGATGAGGGTTAAAGGAGTAGATCACTTTTGAAAAAACTTTTGCTGATAATTTACTCGCCCCCGTGTCATCCAAGATGTCCATGTCTTTCTTTCTTCAGTCAAAAAGAAATGAAGGTTTTTGATGAAAACATTCCGGGATTTTCTCCATATAATGGACTTCAATGGGGACCAAACGGTTCAAGGTCCAAAAGACAGTTTCAGCGAACTGCGCAACGATCGCTCATTTAATAAACAAATAACAAAGTTTAAGTTTTATAAGCTCAAATGCTCGCCTGTGATGTGCGTTCGTGACTCTCCTGTTCGAACTCGTTCATCAAAATGAACAAATCTTTTCCCGAGTCAACTCGTTCATTTCGTTCGTTGAATGAACCAAATGACTCGAAAAAAGATTTGTTCATTTTGATGAACAGGAGAGTCACGAACGCACATCACAGGCGAGCATTTGAGCTTATAAAACTTAAACTTTGTTATTTATTTATTAAATGAGCGATCGTTTCGCTTGATAAGACCCTTATTCATCGTCTGGAATCGTTTAAAGCCCTTTGAACAGTTTGCACTGAAACTCTCATTTGGACCTTGAACCGTTTGGACCCCATTGAAGTCCATTATATGGAGAAAATCCTGGAATGTTTTCATCAAAAACCTTCATTTCTTTTCCACTGAAGAGAGAAAGACATGGACATCTTGGATGACATGGGGGCGAGTAAATTATCAGCAAAAGTTTTTTCAAATCCTTTAAGGATGTTTAGACATTTGCAGTGTAAAACAAACAGTTGATTCTCTCGTCCTCTCTGTCCTCCAGTAAGGGCTACACGGATGTGGTGAAGGTCCCCGAGGGTTCGACGCACCTCAAGGTCCGCCAGTACAAGCCGAAGGGCCAGTCGCGCTACACGGCGTACCTCTCGCTCCGCCGTCCCGGGGGAGAATACCTTCTGAACGGCAAGTTCATGATCTCCACGTCCGAGACCATCGTCCCCCTCAACGGCTCGGTCCTCAACTACAGCGGCTGGAGTCAGCGGGACGAGGCCCTTCACAGCATGGGCCCCGGGGCCCTTCAGGAGAGCCTGCTGGTGCAGATCCTGGCCACGGATGCTAAGAAACCACTAGACATCCGCTATAGCTTCTACATGCCTCGGAAAACGCCGTTCCCGCCTCGGATTTCCAACGTGGCTCCGCCCACCGCTGCCGCTTTGTCTTCCGCGGATTTGCTGACGTTTACGACCGAGGTTCCGACTGAGACTCCGACGGGGCCGCGGTGGATCACGGGACCGTGGATGACGTGCTCCAGAACTTGCAATACGGGTTGGCAAAGTCGCACGGTTCAGTGTAAAGACCCTCACGGGAAGCTTGTGAAGAGCTGCCCGCTCAGCGCCCGGCCGTCGGCCTTCAAACACTGCCTGATTAAGAAGTGCTGAGGATTCAAATCTGAACGCTTGTTCGTAAAACTCGTGCTCGAATCACAATCACTGTGGATTCTGCGACTCGGACAAGGAGCTTTGGCTCTATCCTCGAATGTGGCGATGTGTGGCCACGCCCCCTGATCCATATGACACGCCCCTCGAGTTCACACTGGCAGTCGTTTAACCGTTGCTGTAGCGTTCGACGGGTAACACTTTACAATAAGGTCCGTTAGTTAACTTTAGCTAATGCAGCAATACATTTGTGTCTGTATTAGTGTAATTATACATTTAAATACTGCGTAATATTAATTAACTTCATGTACTTACTATAGGGCAAGGGTCGGATTAGGATTTGGTTGAAGGTTAGTTGCATGCAATTATAATTGTACTGTACCTTCATTGGTAACACTTTATTTGACAGTGTCCTCGTTACATATGTTACATGCACTTACCATAGCAATAAATACGGAGGCGTATTGCATTCACTTGAAGAAAAAAATCTACTCTTTTTTTCTGAATTAATGAGTTAATTTTTCGTGAGAAAAAAAGTTTTTGCTCTGTTTTTCTGAATTAACGAGTTAATTCAGAAAAACAGAGCAAAAAAAAAAAAATTCCATGAAAAATTAACTTGTTAATTCAGAAAAACAAAACAAAAAAAAGTCCATGAAAAATTAGCTCGTTAATTCAGAAAAACAGAGCAAAATATTTTTTTCTCATGAAAAATTAACTCATCAATTCAGAAAAACAGAGTAGATTTTTTTTCTCATGAAAAATTAACTCGTTAATTCAGAAAAACAGAGCAAAAAAAAAGTCCATTAAAAATTAACTCGTTAATTCAGAAAAACAGCAAAATATTTGTTTTCTCATGAAAAATTAACTCATTAATTCAGAAAAACACAGCAAAAATAAATTTCAATGAAAAATTCACTCGTTAATTCAGAAAAACAGAGCAAAAAAAAAATTTTCTCATGAAAAATTAACTCATTAATTCAGAAAAACAGAGCAAATTTTTTTTCTCATGAAAAATGAACTTGTTAATTCAGAAAAACAGAGTAGATTTTTTTTCTTCAAGTGAATGCAATACGCCTCCGTACAATAACAATAAATTATGCGTAATTATATGCAACTAACCCTCAACCAAATCCTAATAGTAAGTATAGTAACTTTAAGTACATGAAGTTAACACACTGTAACACAGACACCTTAAAACTAAAGTGTAACCGGGTTGTTTATAGTTAATGCTACAGTAATTACAGGTAACGTGTAACAAGGGCACTAAAAGAAATTTTGATCCGACCACAGGGCTGCACGATGAACACGATTTCTGCTACTACGCATAATTGTCTGCGATATTATAAATCCAAACATGAATCTTGTGGTTGTGCTGAATAAATGCGCACCCTCTCTGTGACAATACAACATCTTTTTGTTGTTGTTTTAACCGAATAAAAACATAATTTGGTAATTGGAATTAATGTGCAATACATTTACAACTACGCATTTATCCCAAGCTGCTTGTTCTGATGAGATTTTGCAATTGAGAACGGTCATGATTCTGATTTTTGAGCGAAATGGTGCTGATTATCATATGATCGTGCAGCCCTGCTCCCATTGGTGGTCGGCGCATGACATCACAGCTCATTTGCATGAAGCTGGACTGAGTTGCCTCAGACTGTCAACTCTCACTGAAATGACTGTCTAAAGTAGTTTAGCAAATCTCTGTCAGTGTGAACGTCGCTTTAAGGGTCTAGAAAACCCCGGGGTCAGGACTGGAAGGGTTTAATGAAGACTGAGACGGACTGGTTTCCAAGGTTCGAGCTGATGTTTGAGTCTTAAACTCCCCGATGAACTGAGCTTCCCTTCTTTGTAATGGAAAAAGGAAATATGGCTCTGTGATTTAAATGTGTGTGTGTAATTTTCTCAGTTCAGGGCTCGAGGTGTGTGTGACACTGTGTGCCCTCGATACTCGCAATAACGCTGTTTACACGTCTGTGTTGTTCTGGGTTCAAAAATAAGTTAGCAACACTTTACAATAAGGCCGCATTTGTTAACATTAACTAACTATCAGTGAACGAGGCGTTTAATAATCTTTGTCAATATGTTCATGTTAGTTGACAGTGCATTAAAGGGATAGTTCACTTTGAAATTCATTTTTGGTGTGTTTTATCTTACCTCAAGGGCATCCAAGATGTAGGTGTCTTTGTTTCCGCAGTATTTTCAGTTTAGATATTTTTAGGTCAAACCGTTCGTGTCTGTCAGTCATATAATGGAGGTCTATGGTCACCACCTCAAAGAGCAGCACAGAGAAGTCCAGATTAAACATGATTTAATGACTCGTAAATGTAAGTACACATTGATGGTCTAAGACACGAAACGAGCGGTTTGTGTGAGAAAACCAACAGTATTTATATCGTTTTTACCTCGTGTAATCACAGCCACGTCCAAGTGATGTGAACACTTTGGTCTGTGATCTCTTGCGCGGTTGCGGAAAAAAGTTCAACGTTGTCTGTTGATATATCGAAATCGTCTTCCATTGTGATTTCCTGTATATCTAAATATGTTTCGATCTTCACAGTGAAGGGCAACACTTCCCAAATCTCTGTGTAAACAATGAGTGACGTACGGGCTGTGATTACAAGAGGTAAAAACGATATAAATACTGTTGGTTTTCTCACACAAACCGCTCGTTTCGTGTCTTAGACCATCAATGTGTACTTACATTTACGAGTCATTAAATCATGTTTAATCTGGACTTCTCTGTGCTGCTCTTTGAGGTGGTGACCATAGACCTCCATTATATGACTGACACACAACAACGGTTTGACCTAAAAATATCAAAATTGAAAATACTGTGGAAACAAAGACACCTAAATCTTGGATGCCCTTGAGGTAAGATAAAACATACCAAAAATTAATTTTAACGTGAACTATCCCTTTAACAAGTACGATTTTTAATTTTTAGTAAAGGTAGAAATTAACACTAGCTTTGTTTTTTATGCACAAAAACAAAACTGAATGGAAACGGCTAGATGTGGATAAATTTTAAAAATGCACAAATGTGGCTCAGCGTCAGCTGTGATTGGATAACTGGAGTAACCAGCGGACCAATGGCGTCGCAGCGTCTCTAATGCTGGTTTGGTCGGAGTGTGTGATCAGAATGATTGGGTTTATTCCCTCCAGAAGTGTATTCACAAACGCCAGAGAACACGACAGCGTTTACCGTGACGCTCGACACACACACACGTTTATGATGGAGGGAAAAGAGAAAGACTGCTGAAACGTACAGTTTTATACTGATATTCTGCACCAGGAAGTGATGATTTTATTCTCTTGAACACATGAGAGGGAAATTATTCAAATGATTATTCATTGCTAATGTAGTTAACTAAATATAACCTTATTGTAAAGTGTTACCACATTAATATGGTTGAATATGGTCAAACACGTTGAATGGACGTCTATGGGACGGGGAAAAGCCTGTAAACGAGAACCTGTTTTTCATTCCACGTCACTGATCTTACATTGTTTTCCATGTAGACGTGTGTTTTTCTTGCGTTTTTAAAATGTAAAACCCCTTTTTTTGTGTGTTGATGAACTTTAAGTTGAAATATATCTCTGGAGTTGAATTATATAACTTTGCACAGACCTGGAGAAATGTTTAACATGCTTTATGTTTAGTGTGTATTCAGATGCCCCATAGACTTCCATTGTAAGTGTGTTACTTTGAGACTGCAGTGAACGCCTCAGTTCAACCTTGAAACACTGAAGCTGAATTAACGATGTTTTCACGCTTCATAGCTCAGTGTTATTTACATATGCAAACGCTCATGCAAATGAATGCAGATGTGTGTCCAAATCATTCAGCATCACACGTGTGATTTATATGTGTGTTATTATGACCAGCAGAAAGTCAACATGCAATCAACAGTTCATGTTCACGCTCTTATTATGAACGATCAGGGACGTTATTCAAAATTGTCATAATCTTTCCGATTATTGCTTTTTCTCAGAGAATATCCCTGGAAATGCTTCACATGACAGAAATGCAAATGTTGCACGTTGACTTTAAACCTGCTGACGAGTGAATAATCTCCACCATTTCATCTCTTTTCTCCATGTATATGCAGTACCGTTCTACCGTCTCGATGGGAAATGGCCGTTTCACTGAAAATACACAGCACTGATTTTATAATTTATTGTTTGTACAACTGGTATGTGAAAAAAAAAGAAAACACATGATGAATTTATTTATTGTTATGGTCATTTTGTCTCATAAATACTATTTAACTAGGAATATGAGTGTGCAGAATAGTTCCTTTTGAAGAAAATTGTGTTTTTTTAGCCATCTTCATGAATATATGTATATATATAAAAACAAAGCGCTATATTTAAAAGTTTGCATTTCATTGATTTATTTGTCGTTTCACTGGTTTAGGTAAAGGGACAGGTCATCTAAAAAGCCGTCATTGTTTACTCACCCTCGAATTGTTGCCGAATGAGTTTCTTTTTAAGAACATATTTTGGACCCCATTGACTTCCATTGTATTTTTATTTTTTTTCAATGGGGACCAGAAACTGTTTGGTTACCAACATTACTCTTTAAGGGTGATTAAATGATGACAGAACCATCCCTTTAACATCTCTAACTTCTTAAATGAGAAGTTCGTTAAGGTAAACGAGAGCGGAGGGTGATATTTTTAACCCTTTATTAAACACAACACTAACCTCAACAACACACACTTCAGTAAGTGTTTTTCATCTTAAATATTAAACAAGAACTGATTTTAATTCTGATCTGATCAAGATCAAGAGGACGGGGCAAGTTGTCACACGTTATCGGTGTAATTTCTGCATATATAAAATCTTATTGAGCATCTCTGTTATTTCCCAGGAAATAAATTAATATTTCCGCAGTTCATTTAACACACGCTGACCCTATGGGGTAAGTTGTCACATGTTAACCTGGTAGGCTACTTATCGACACTTATTTTGAGAATATCTTCATACACTTCTCTGTACTAAAATGTATTATTGGCTATGAAATGTAGACAGTGTGACCGTTATGACACCAATACATTAAACACAAAAAGCAGACATATAAACATATGATCTGTTTTTATTAAGAAAGCAGACATTTAAAAAAACACAGCATGTAAATAAAATAAATCTAATTTAGGATAACCAGACCAGCTGACGATTAGTCAAGACTAGAAGAAGAATGTAAAAATCTAATTTCTTGTGGGATAAAATTGTTTTTTCATGCGGATAATAATTCAAAAGCATAAGATAAAGGATGGCACGTCGCTTTATTCTGCACTCTCTCTTTATACTCTATACTTGTTAACTTAATTCCCAACAGTTTGCTTGTCATTGTTACTCCCTCTCCTCTGAGCCTCTGACGCATTAATATATGTAATATATTTAATAATAATAATATATTAATATATGCATTAGTTTATGAGGAGCTCTAAAATGAATTTCTGGAGAAACGTGTCATGAATCCCAACTGAGAAGAACTCCATCCTGGGCTATCAGGACAATCACATTTGATGACATCACTTCCGGTTCAGTTAGACCACGTTACTGTAGCTAAATAGGGTGTCACTCCTGAGTATTGTGTTTAATCTCGCCGTGCACACGCCGGTAATATAAGGTTAGTAACAACAGCATATTTTTGGAAATCTACATAACTGTGCACGAGCGTGAAAACCTTTCTTTTACTGTCTATGGTGGAAACACAACTAGCTGTTAAAGCTGTGACGTCACTGCCGGTGTAGCGCTAAAAACAGAAGAATATGACATTAAAAGCGTTGTTTTTTATTGTTATCTATTTAGTTACTTTTTATTTTTTTCTATAGCGATCTTTTGCATTACTTTTTTGCACCTTATCCTACTGTACGTTGTCTTGCACTATTATTCTACACTAGTTTTTGCTGCTGATCATAAATGATGCTGGAGCGCCACCTGCTGTCAGCTTGACATAACATTACTGTAAATACATTAAACACAGAAAACTGAACATTAACATTAAACCACGCCATTTACATTCTTATAACCATATATCGTGTTTTATATAGAACATTTTCCAAATTAATACTTTTTTATTGTAAAAGTGGGTGTTTGAACTATACGTGGTGTGTTATACTTTCTTCTTAAACTATTTTTATAAATGTTACAATTATCAAAGATGCAATTGTATTATCTGATATTAATTTAGAGACCTACCGATAGGCATACTCTTTAAAAAATTTATTTGAAAAAGTCTATTTCCATATTATGACTCTCGCGAGAATGAATAGTGGTGTTCTTCTGCCCTCTGCTGGATTATACTGAACTTACACATCACACTACAGGCATTTAAGGTGGACTTTCAACTCTCTGGACTTGAGGATTGACTGAAAACTATTTATTAGTTCATAATAAGTTGCACATGCATGCATAAATTAACGTATTGTTGCTTATATGTCACTCAAAGTCAGATACTTTGCATACATGTTTAATGTAAGCACAATGTATGCTTCAGAACAATGAAATGTAAAGTTTTATTATATAATCACAGTGAATCTTCATTTTCAATAAGTCCACATTTGATATCCGTTGTGGTTCTTTCATTCAGAACACTTTGGGTTTGTTCTCGGACGGTATGTGCGTACTTTCAGAAGGTCACCGACCGCTTAAATTAAATTTGGCCCATTAAACGCGCGAGACACAGGCTATTTCCTCCGACACTGCGAGGCGGGAGCCATAATCCGCACATAATTAATTTTGGATGCAGTTCCTGCCGCACACAAGGAGCGTTTCTGGAGGAGAGGAGCCGGTCCACCTTAACAGCACCCGGCCCGGCTTTACCAGTTAAGAACAAACGTTCTTCAAGTAACATTCGTTCAAAGTCGCCTGGTGTTTAATAATGTTTTCCATGGAACGTTTCAAATGTTACATTGAAATGTTACATCTAACATTTTTGAAAGTTACTAGGTTTTAGAACGTTCGGAGAACATTCAAAAGTAACAGTTAGAGAGTGATACTTTAGAATGTAACGTTCGAATTTAAACCTGGAGGTTTAGAACGTTCAGAAAACATTCAGAATTGTCATGGATATGTACCTAGAACATATTTTTCAATCCCAGAGACAAAACTGTCATATTAGTGCACTTCATAGGCTACTCTCAGAATATGAATGGACTCTATAAGTCGAAGACAGATAAAGAGTTCGAATGAGTAATAAAAGGGTCAGATCTGAAGTGTTGTCCTGTGATGATTGATGATTGTGGCTGAGCTCCAGCACTCTGTTACGCACTAGATTCGGGTTGAGTGGATCAAAGGGGCTTCAGGAAAGGGGTGGTCCTGCACGGGAGCATATATAGAGAGAGGCTTCTCGCTGCTCGGACAGAAGGAGAGAAACTGCTGAAACTGTGAGGGAAGTTCTCCACTTTTTATGGTTTTTAAGACTCGTCTGCTGTTAGAGACTGTTTTATTTATTACCTCTGGATTGGTACCTCTTGCAGTTTTCTGGTGTTTCGGGAGTCAAATTCTCAAAAGAACTAAAACTTTGTAAGGATTTCCATCGGGTGCATCTTATTTGTCGTTCACCCAACAGGAATATAATGTCTTTTTTGCGCGTCATACTGGGTTTGGTTGCAGCCCTGTGCGTAAACGCGGCGCAGAGCGCGTGGGAGGAGAGCACGGCGGTGCCGGTTCGGCTCGACTCGCACGGCACAGAACCGACCCATTCAGCAGAAGCACGGGAAAAGGAATCCGAGAAACGCATCTATCGCCTGGACGTCTTTGGAAATCGGATGGTGTTGGTGCTGGAACCGGATCAGACCTTTTTAGCGCCTGGGTTTGTGTTCCAGATGGTGGGGAAACCGGAGTCCGAGGAGTTTGACAGCGCGGGACAGGCGCGGTGCTTCTTCTCTGGGTCCGTGAACGGAGAAGAACTTTCCGCTGCGGCGATCAATCTGTGCAATGGACTGCGGGGCGGTTTCTACGTCGGGGGCGAAGAGTACTTCATTCAACCCGCAAACACCAGCGGACAGGCATCAGATGGAGACGTCCATGTCATCCGCAGGAGAAAACGGGGGTTGCTGGCTGAGGAGAACGGGTCCAAGTGTGGGGTGAACGAGGAGGAGGAACGGGTCTCCGAGAAACCATTTGCAACCAAATCCGATACCGAGCCATCTGAGTCTAAAGGTAAATATTGCATAATAAAACTTATTTTTTTTTTATCCATATTGTATCGTGTACATACGTTTATTAGGCTAGAGTCTGCGATGATTTTCCGGTAATATTTCATGCACGCCTCCGGTAACCCGAATAAACTCGGTGACTCCGCGTCATTCGGCGCGCGCTGGCGCATGAGGAGCGAATTAAGCAGGTTTAAAAGTCCTGCGTCTGCCTTAACGCATTACGCGCCAAATCGCGTAAAAGTCGCCTGCTATTTGCACTGCAGATGCAATAAGTGCACTTCAGAAGAGCCTTCTCCAAAAGCGAGGCGAGGGTTAACTTAGAGAGGGCATAAATCTCTCCACATACGCAGGAGGAGGGAAGGGGAGGTGGGAGGCGGGAGGTGGGACTGGAGAGAATGGGCTTGGGTTGGAGAGACGTGGACGTTCTCCTCCTGGTACCGCATGTTGCGCAGATCCGCACCGGAGGACTTGTGTTTCCGCCAACGTCTCTCGAGAAAGTGCGCAAGTTTTGGATAAGTTATTAGCAGGGCGGAGCAGAAGCTTAGTCAAATAAAGAAGCAAGCAAGCTCAGCAGCTCTCTCTCTCTAGTTATTACGCTATTAGACACCATCAAATCTCACTTAACTATTTGCTATCAAATATGCATTTATGTTTATTAGCGTTGAGGCACGTATATGCACACACTTTTTTTTGGCATTGATGAACATTTAACAGTCCTTTACAATAGATTATTAAAATGTTAATAATCTGCAAAGTAGGTCAAAAAATGGTTCTGCAACCAAAAAAACAAACTGTTTTAGAATCGTTTTTGTAAAGTACATTTAGCATCTAAACACAGACTTTCGGTTTCATTTAAACAGACCAAAATTATTGATGACATCATCTCGACTTGCACTCAATAAAATGCACTCTGGATTCTGGAATGAGAATATCCCTCCTTGCGAGCAGAAGTGCCGATTCTTGTTTACTTTGAATGTGATGCTTCATTTTGATCGAGCACCTGCCAAAAGTTTTTGTGCATAATTTTTTTTGTTCCTAAGACTGAATATGAGTTAGTATGAATATGTCTTCCTATCCTCCAGCACACCACAGATCCCGTCGCTTTGTGTCCACCCCTCGCTATTTGGAGATCATGATTGTGGCAGACCAGTCAATGGCAGAGTTTCATGGAGCTGGGCTCAAACCTTATCTGCTGACCATCATGGCGGTGGCGTCCCGTCTGTATCGACACCCTACCATTCATAACTCGATCACTCTGGCCGTTGTGAAGCTGCTTGTGGTGTATGATGAAGAGCACGGACCACAGGTGTCCACCAATGCGGCGCTCACCCTTAGAAACTTCTGCCAGTGGCAAAAGCAGCACAACCCATCAAGCGACCGGCACCCGGAGCACTACGACACAGCAGTGCTGTTCACCAGACAGGTAAATCTCACTCACCTGGTTTCATCTGAGTACATTATGTGCCGTGGCTCATATCTGTGAATTGTGCAGGATCTTTGTGGAGCTCATTCCTGTGACACTCTGGGGATGGCGGATGTGGGAACCGTGTGCGATCCTGATCGGAGTTGCTCTATTGTTGAAGATGACGGCCTGCAGGCATCCTTCACCGTAGCACATGAGCTTGGTAGGTGCATCCCCATGTTTCTAATAGGGGCTTTCGCAGCGGAGGAACCTTGTGAAACTATTGGCGAAAGTTCCTGGATTTTGGAGCTAGCTCCGGTCTAAACCAGTACTATAGGAACTACCGGTGACGTTAGTCTACGCTAATTGGCCGAAACACCAACACCTGTCATTTTAAAAAAAGCTACGGAAACACATAGATTATATATAGTCTACTCTACGAACACGGAAAACTTTACGCTAGGGACAAAATCCAACGCAACTTTGAGGGGACGCATACGCTAAAACCTACTTTCTATGTATTACAGTTCTATCTCGTAAACTAATGAACGCAGAGAACCGTCAAAATAAAGGTCACAAAATAAAAGTCACAACAACAAGTGCGGCTTACGTCACTTCAGAGTTCCTGGTGGCGGTGCGAATGCAACCAGGAAAACGCTCCTACGGGAACCAATAGTTATCGGGGAACCACCCTGGGGTGCGTTTCCCGTACAACGACGTAGTTCGCTGATTCACTACCATAGTACGATGCATCGTTGGAAAAATCAACTAGCTAGTCGCGGCTGTTTCCCGAAACCCACTGTCGCAAAATATCGTTCAACCGCGTTGATTTCGCACGTGGGGGAGTACCCAGCAAACAAATTTAAGTTTTGGGAACGTTCTGGGAATGTTCTGGGAACGTTAGTTTTTGGTTCCCAGAACGTTCCTAGAACTTTCCCTTAAGGTTAAGGGAACGTTCCCGGAACATTCTCCCTACGTTATAAAAATGGAACCTAAAAATGGAACGTTCCTATAACGTTCTTGTTTGGTTCCCAAAAAAATAACCTCATGGGACCATTTGGGAACGTTAGGGGAACGTTCTGTGTTTGCTGGGTAATAACTACCTTTAATGAAACTGTTTGAGATCCAATTAACGCTAGATTTGTTTTATGTAAATTACAAACATGTCATCTGAGGACTATTTCTAATTGTTCTCAGTTGTTTTTCTTTATTACCAGACTCAATATTTGGCTCGTTCTTACATAGTAGAGCACGTTCGCACATGCGCACTCTCCAAACACGGTACTTCAAATCTTGAATGACAAACTAAAAGACGTAAATTCCATTTGTATGTATTCTTAATAAAAGGCACCGGTTGTACTGAATGTCAGCTTGCTTATTTTGCTCAAGATAAGGATTTATTACCTCCAAATGTCAAAATAGAAACGACGCCTCTAACCACAGGTCGAGAGCTGTCGTTCAAATCACACAACTCGTTTGCGAATGTTCGTTGGATTTCGGGAAACACAGACTCGTTAAACTATGCTGATAACGACGGAACTTGCGACCATAGTTGGCTAACGATGCACCCCTGGTGCGAAAGTCCCTTATATAAAAATAGAAACCATACAGGTGTAGAACAAGTCAATGATTGTGTGTCTCCTGCAGGTCACGTGTTCAACATGCCCCATGATGATGCCAAACAATGTGCCAGTGTTAATGGCGACCAGTGGAGCGCCCACATGATGGCCTCGACCTTGTCAAATCTGGACCAGCTTCAGCCCTGGTCTCCTTGCAGTGCCGTGATGGTCACATCATTCCTGGACAATGGCCATGGTCAGTGTTTACTGGACAAGCCCCAGAAGCCTCAGCAGTTGCCCCAGGCCCTGCCAGGTTCAGTTTACGATGCCGACAGACAGTGCCGTCTCACATTCGGAGAGGAGTCCCAGCACTGTCCTGACCTGAGTACCACTTGCGCCGCACTTTGGTGCACCGTCACGACCTCAAATGGACTCCTGGTCTGCCAAACCAAGAACTTTCCGTGGGCCGATGGGACGTCTTGCGGGTCTGACAGCTACTGCATGGCAGGACGGTGTTTGAGCAAGGCTGAAGCTGCCAGATATCAGGTAAACACCATTTGGTTGCCATTTGCTGATAGAAATTGTGTGATTCTGCATGTTACTGACAATGTCTTGTTTCTTTTAAAGACTCCAGTCAATGGCGGATGGGGAACCTGGGGATCTTGGGGAGATTGCTCACGTACCTGTGGAGGAGGAGTGCAATACTCTTTTAGGGACTGTGACAATCCCCAACCCAAAAATGGAGGGAAATACTGTGAGGGCAAGAGGATTCAGTACCGCTCCTGCAACACCGAGACCTGCCCTGATAGCAATGGTAAGGGACGGTCTTGTCACTGTACCTGAAACCAATGCAACCATATGCAAGCTGCTTTATACTCAACTGTATTTGCTTGCGCAGGTTTGACCTTCCGTGAGGAACAGTGTTTGGCCCACAACGACATCTCCTCTCAGGTGTCATTAGGCTCAGGAGACGGTGTGGAGTGGGTCCCGAAGTACGCGGGAGTCTCTCCCAAGGACCGCTGCAAGTTGGTGTGCCGAGCAAAGGGAACCGGGTACTTCTTCATTCTGAAGCCAAAGGTGTGTATCTCTATTACCCTGATCAAGAGTTGGTCTATTAATGGTTTGATGGATGCAAGGCGAGTGTGTAATCCGAGGTTTACTCCAATGTAGGGTTGTAACTTGATACTGAACTTACAAATGTAAGTTGTACTGAATGTACTGAACTTACCGCGATACTCCAAGACGTATGATAGGCTTGAACTCTGTGCTGGAAACCCAATGCACAGGACAATAGAGACAAAAATGATTCTGAAGCTGAAAATACAGAATTATTTTAGACGAAGAATATGCTTGACCCACTTTTTACTGGTAACATCGGACATTTGCCATTTTCAGGACTACAAATATTCCCCATTGCATTATACAGGGTAGGGTAGGATAGTTATATAGGGTAGTTTAATGTAGTACTGACACTGTAACTCTGTAAACTTACAGTAATTCGTATTCTGGGTGAACAATCCACATTGCATTTTTGTATTGCGATATATTGTGAGTGTGACACACCTACTCCAATGCCTTCAGGTTGCCGATGGGACGCCATGCACCCCCGATTCCACCTCAGTCTGTGTCCAAGGCCAGTGCGTGAAGGCCGGTTGTGATCGGGTCATCGGCTCCAACAAACGTTTCGACAAGTGCGGCATCTGTGGAGGAGACGGATCTACTTGCAAGAAGGTTTCTGGATCGATGGAGCGTTCCATGTAAGTTACCAGCTAGTCAAGTTTTCCAACGCACCTCCTCAGATTTCTGTTTACTAACCTTTGCTTGTTTCCGCACTTTAGACCGGGCTACCAAGATATAGTGACGATTCCAGCTGGCGCCACGCACCTAGACGTCAAGCAGCGCTCTCTCGGAGGCCGCCGCCAGGACAATAGCTACCTAGCAGTTCGTCGGCAAGATGGCACATACCTACTGAACGGCGACTACAAGCTGACGACTTTAGAGACTGACATCGCTTTGAAAGGTGCACTTCTGCGATACAGCGGCTCCTCTGCCACACTCGAGCGCATCCGAAGCTTCGCTCCCTTACCTGAGGCTCTTACTATCCAGGTTTTGTCAGTCGGCGACTCCCCAAGACCTCGCGTAAAGTACAGCTACTTTACGCCACTTCTAAGTGGGTCAAAAAGGCCGTCCATTAACGCCATTAGCGTAGCAGGTGATGCCGAATGGGTCCTACGTGAGTGGGGACCCTGTTCGCAGACTTGCGGTGTTGGGATCCAGAAGCGGGACGTTCTTTGCATGGATGCTTACGGTCGTCAGTCAAAAGATTGTCCCGAAGAGCTGCGCCCTGTGTCGTCACAACCTTGTGATCTTCAGGATTGCCCATCCTGGCTCCTCGGGGAGTGGTCCAGTTGTTCAAAAGCATGCGGAAGAGGCTTTCGCAAGCGTCAATTGCGTTGCATCGGACACGATAGTCGCATTTTGCCTAACGAGAGCTGCAACGCAAAAGCTAGGCCTCGACCCCTCCTGGATTTGTGCAACGTGACTCCCTGTTGAAACTGAACTCACGCAAGCTGGTGCCGACAAACGCAGGTCTTTGGATTCAAAGGGTCTGAGACTGCAACCAAACTTCTTCCAGTGTTTCGAATCCCACCCATCCAACACTGGGTACAAAGCTGTGTCTTGACAGCTGTGATGGAGGATGAGAATACGAACACCTCTGCTGCTTCGGATGCTGATGTCATGCATGTTAGATTTTAAGTGTGCATGGGTGTGTATGATGGAAACAGCTATGCATTTGTGCCGTCTGTCTAAGCTGGACTAGACAGATAGGTTTAATTTGTCACAAGAGAGCATATAATGTCTTTAACCAGGGTCGAGAGCAGTACTGAGACAGAGGAGGTCATTAGAAGTGGTGTTTTAAATAAAACGCCCTCTAGTGGTGGACGTTTAAAGGTTGCACACTCTGGCTCAAAGCACATATTTAACAATGCATTTTTCTTGCCAAAAAACAACACCTTATCTCACCTCAGCTAGGCACACATGCTGCTAATCAAACACCACAACAGGTATTATGCATTTCCTCATAACTAAGTTTAACAATGCACATTAGCCTTACGTTTAGCTTCCTAGGTTGATATTTTCAGCATTTTGCAAAGCCATATCTGATCAAGAGGGATCATATTTTTTTTTTTTTTTTTTTTTTGGGTGGGGGTGACCAAAGAGCATAGGTTCTTCACCTGAGGAGAGAGTGTGTTTGTGTGTGTGGGTTAGTTCTGTGTGATTGTGTCTGTAGAGATATGGTGAGGGACTTCTCTCCTACTACTACTTCATAAGTAATCTCCTGCCTTCTGAGAAGGTGTCTTTGTATTGATTTATGTCTTTTTGTACAGAATATCCTAACGTTATTTATTTTTGTACAGCCCATTTAATATAATCTTGTTGCTTTTTTTTATAAATATTGTATTTCTATTTGTTGTTATTATTATTGTTATTGAAATAACTGAAGGATGTAGATTATATTAAAGTATTTATACGATATCTATGATCTTAGGTTTATGAATAAAGTATCACATTGATTTGTGGATCAAAAACTGATTTGTTTGGTTTATTTTGGGCGTGGCTGCCTGGTGTGAGGAACTCTAGGGGTTGATGAAGGTACTGCAGGGGTGACAAAAAAAGACTATTTCACTCTAAAATCTAAATATAATGATATTTTTATGTGGATAATTTTGGTTATTTCAGTTTATTCTTCAGTTGCTTCTATATGCCTATTTAAACAAATGCAAATCCAGCACAAAGTCTAAAATAATAACAAACAATTATTATTAATTAATTTATAAATGTGGAAATTGCAAAGTAAAGCAAAACACAGTTTAGCAGGAGATATAAGTCATAAGGTAGGCTATACCAATATAAATAACCTTAATAGTCTGAACACAAATGTATGCATGATTTGACAAAGTACATCATTTTATTCAAATCAAAGTCAAAAGAGCATCAACATGACCAGATCTAGTCATAATGGCAATTAATGCACAGCTGCTCATATTATGAACAAGACAAGTAAAGTCCAAATGAAATCAATTAAATTAAATTAATTTATATGTATTTATTAGCACTCTCAACCGCTGTTCAGAGAAAGACTGGCACATTCAGCAGTACAGGTAATAATCACATCACTGGTCATAACGAGGAAGTCTTTAGTTATATAACAAGCTTTAATAATTCAAGAGGACACTGTTGGGTTTAGTCATTATGTTACAAGGGTGGTTCAAGTGCTTTCAACCTCAGCCAGTCCTTCTGCTAAAATAATACATTAACCAACCACTCTGCAAAATAATTAGTGACTTCGAGTTCGCACACATGATAGCAGGGTCATGATAACAGGGCCGCTTCTATCTCGGACTGTCTGAAAACTGCACAGGGTGAAACAAGCAAATATGTAATATGCATACACTCAGTAATGTTACATTTTAAGTGTTCTCAAAACTTTAGCACAAAAACCTTATCTATACATCATTCGTGGAACTTTTTTTTTTAACTGGACAATCATTTTTAGAATGTTGCTATTTCAAATTCGGAATGTTCGGAGAACATTCAAAAGTAACGTTTGCAACATGATCAAATGGAATTTTCCCACGGTGGTGTAAATCAAGCTTTTAATGCTGTTGTTTATATGTCTATGTGGTGTTTTTAATCTGCTTTAAAACACACCGTGTGTAAGTTGATAAGTGGACAGCATTGCTGAGTATTTCCTCCTTAAAACTGCAGTGAACCAAAGACAGTCTCAAAAACACGCTTTGAAATCGCTGGTGTTTCTGACGTCACAAACCACCTTGTAACCAATCAGATCAACGTGTGATCGTCAACCTTTTGTATTTTTGAGCTGAGTGTGTGAGGGGAGGCGGGGCTCATTTGCATATCACTAAAAAAAACACTATGAAAAAAAATTTCAAGGTAATAAAGTTTAAATAGGCTCTGCCATTTTGGGGATCAAAGATAGCTAATACAATTATTGACTAGGGGACTTGTGTTTTCAACATTTTAGAGAACAAATAACAAATGTTATCTTACTCAACTAATACCTTGATCGAAGGGGGCATTTCGGATGCACGTTTGTTATGGTGAGTTTCTCCAATCCTGAGTTTGTTTACATCCTGATTTGAGAAAATCATGACCATCATTGTTTCCTATTTAAGCCTATCTTTTTATACAGATTAAGATGGATAGGCTACATTATGAAGCCTCGGTACCTGAAGCTCTTGTTTACTCTTCGTGTTTGGTTCAGTTCAGGTCAAGGATGGGTTGAAATGGACACGAAGAGGATTCGTGAAAACATGATTGGAGAGAGACCTAAATATAGACTCACTACAGCGAGAAAACGATGCCGCAATTTGCAGCTATTGAAAAGGGCCAACGAGTTCCCAGAATGATCGTGCGGCTCGTGTGTTGATGAAGATGATGAAGAGGATGATGATGATGATGAGTCGTGACGGTGGTTGGAGGAGGGCGGCTCTTCTTCATCCACAATTCCACATCCAGACTGACAGACACAAGTTCTGGGGGAGGGGATCGAGCGAAGAAAAGAAAATAGCGCAAGGAAGAAGTTAAAGACAAAGAGGAAGGAGTCAAAGGAGAAGTTCGGCGAGCGCGTGAAACACGTGGAGCGTTAAAGCGTTCATTTACTTTAAATCCAGTTCCTGCGTCTGGAACTGACAGTCGGACCAACAGACCCATCATCGGTTCGCTCACAGTGAGATTTCAGACATTAACTATCTAACATGTGAAAGTTGGTTAGACGCGTTTGTTTTCCATGAATCTTCGGGAACATAATGGAAAATCCGAGTTCACAGAAGAGCTGGAAGTTCGTGCGGGACTCGCTGCTGCTGTGCTTCTTCACCGGTAACGTGTTTCACATTTCAGAAGAACACAAAAACAACTAGGTAGCAGCTCAATATAACATTTCATTGGTCGTTTAACTTAAATAAATGTAAACTAAACAAAAAAAAGTTAGACTTCTTAATAAGTTTTGATAAACTTTTTGACACCACCCAGCTAAACATCCCAGGAACATTTTTACGAGTTATCCAGGTTTAATGTTTTTAAAAAACGAAAGGCTATCGTTGATTGTCTGTTGTTTTGTAAATGTACTTGTTTCAGAACAAAAGTAACGTTTGCAAAATGAATCAATGGAACGTTCGCGTAACCAAACAGAACGTTTCGAATGTTCAGAAAACATTCAGAACTAACTTTTTTATAACGTTTTTTTGTTTGTTTGTTTGTTTGGGTATGTTTAAAAAAAACCTCATAAGTCTTTATAATGCTCATTTAATCAGCGTATAATGCTTCCATTGTATTCTTTGAAATACATTATAGTATTATATTATACATTTTGTTATATTGTGTAGTATTGAGTAAATATCATGGCATGAACATCTGATCACAGAACTGCAACTACACTATCCATACAGAGTCAGACATGCAGAGTGTGTGTGTGTGTGTGTGTGTGTGTGTGTGAGCAATAACATTTAAAGCACCAGTGCTTCTAAAGCGTCTTTGTCCCAGAAGTGTTGACCGACGGGCCCCAGAGGTAAAGCGAGGGCCTCCAGGGGACCACCCAGTCTGCGACCCCACAGTTTCCCCGTCTGCTCAGAGGCAAACAGACGCCACTCAAATTAAAGCCAAGCTTTGGTGCTTCAGAAGACATAATTACACTAATTATACCGTGATGACTGTGGGCAGGACAAGATAGCGCTGTAATTGTGAACCAACAACTATCCTCATGCTTAAACATGAGCATCACACACCTTCAACATGTCTCTCATCATCTCAGTTTATTGGCTATAACGGTAATAAACATGAGCAGAACTCAGTTCTCAGATCAGTGGATATTTGACTGGTTTTGGTCCTTCTGTTGGACTCTCACACATGAATCATGTTGAATATCTGATACACAATTAGATAATACCAGTTTAGCTCAACCAGTGGCCAAGCAATGCTTCATGTTGTTCAGTGTGTGTGTAATTACTGAAAACACACTTCAGCAAAACATGATCAGCTTAAAGTGTCCGAATCATTTCTGCTCCCAATCTTTACTGGTAGTCGCTGTATGAAGAGTTATTGGGTGTAATATGTCCCAGTTTACTTTATTTTGCTCTCCACACTAGTGACACAATATCACACATTACATCTGGTGTCTGAATCATTATTGGTTTGACTGTATATTCAAACCCAGATACAAATAACGCTCTACTAATGTTGGATTTGCATTAGAGCCCGACCGATAAAGGATTTTGAAGGCCGATACCGATACAAATATTTTTAGGTTTTAAAATCCGATATATCGGCCGATATTTTATTTATTTATTTTAAACTGGACATGATAGTCACAAATTTTGTCATGCTTATTTGAGTTCAGAGAACTGATGGGGATGATCTTTTAATTGTTATTCAAGCAATGTGTATCGTGAACAATTCAATGAGTGTTGGTGTAGAGCGCCCTCTGGTGGACAAACCATGCAACTCCAACACTCATGACATGGTTCAAGCGTGTTTCGTCCGTTTTTATGTTATTTTTTGAGATATTCATTTATCGGCCATTATAACTGCCGATACCGATAGTTTGGAAAATGCCTAATATCGGTCTGCCGATATATCGCTCTGGCTCTAATTTGCTTTAAGCAATAATTCTGCGTCACACACTCTTTACCAGCCGTGCAGATGTGTGACTGTTAGTGACTGACCAACGGCACGAGAATCCAGCAGGTTTCTGTGTGTGTGTGTGAGTGTGTGTGCAGGATCAGACAGGAATGATGGGAAGAGTCGAGCTTGACTCTCCATGTGCATGTGTTGAGCTAACACACTTCATCTGTCCTGTTGAATATCAGTGACTGTACTGTCAATCACTTCTCGTGTGTGTGTGTGTGTAGGCCGTGGAGACGCTCAGTGTGACAGCTGTATTGAGTATTGCTGCGACGGTGTTCCTCCTTTCTGCTGCTCTTACTATGCGTACGTGGGAGACGTGCTTTCGTAAGTACACACACACACACACTTCCTAACTGCTGCTATTTTACTCACATATAACATCACCATTGAGTTGACCTTTGACCTTCCCTTCCCCCCTCACACACTGCTGTTTGTTTCACTTCAACTTGAAATCCGACCCATAATCAAACCCGGTGTCCAAACACGCAAAATTATTATTTAGCATAAATCAGTGTTTTTTTTTGTTTTGTTTTGTTTTTTTTAAATGTTGATGAAAGAAAGTTTATATAATTTCACAAATGAAATCTAACGAAGAGGTGAGATTCTCTCGGCATGATTTCAGTAACATTAATAGAACGTAAAATGAGTTCACATCTATCTGGTATTTAATAACGTTATTTATATTTATTCAGTTGGACGAACGTTCGTTTTCCATTTTTTTAAATGCTTGTGAATTCGAAAGTAACGTTCCCATGATGTTTGCTGAACGGAGTGTTTAATTAACGTTCTCAAACGTGTCTTAAAGGGATAGTTCACTTTGAAATTAATTTTTGATATGTTTTATCTTTCCTCAAGGGCATCCAAGATGTAGGTGTCTTTGTTTCCAGTATTTTCAATTTTGACATTTTTCAGTCAAACCGTTGTTGTCTATCAGTCATACACTGGAGGCTAAGGGGGTCCACCAAAGAGCAGCACAGAGAAGTCCAAATTAAACATGATTTAATGACTCGTACATGTAAGTATTGATGGCCCAAGACACGAAACGAGCGGTTTGTGTGAGAAAACCAACAGTATTTATATCGTTTTACCTCTTATAATCATAGCCATGACAAAATGATCTGACGGCACGGGCCCTTCGGTCTGGAAGTGATCGCTTGCGCGCCGATGTCACTCTTTATTTATACAGAGATTTTGGAAGTTTGACCTTTCACTAAACATATTTAGATATACGGGAAACCGCAATGGAAGACAATTTCGTTATATCTAAATATGTTTAGTAAAAGGTAAAACTTCCGAAATCTCCGTGTAAATATTGAGTGACGTCACACGCAAGCGATCACTTCCGGCGTAACATTGAACTGATTCAGTTCGGTTCAGTTGGACATTGAACAACTGATTCAGATCACTGTGATTACACGAGGTAAAAACTATATAAACACTGTTGGTTTTCTCACACAAACCGCTCGTTTCGTGTCTTAGGCCATCAGTGTGTGCTTACGTGTACGAGTCATTAAATCATGTTTAATTTGGACTTCTCTGTGCTGCTCTTTGGTGGACCCCCTTAGCCTCCAGTGTATGACTGATAGACAACAACGGTTTGACTGAAAAATGTCAACATTGAAAATGCTGTGGAAACAAAGACACCTACATCTTGGATGCCCTTGAGGTAAGATAAAACATATCAAAAATTAATTTCAAAGTGAACTATCCCTTTAAGAGAATCGAGACTGAACGCTTTCATAACTGAAATGGGAACATTAGCAAAACGTTCTTTTGTACGCTGGGTAAATGAAGGCTTTTTCTGCGGACGAACAGCTCTAGTAATCTCTCTCTCTCATATGAGCGTCTATATATATATTTACCTTCGGTCTCACTCGCACATTCATCCATACTCGAAATGACAACTAAAAACCAACATATTTCGTCTTTTGTGCCTGTGTTTAGTCAGGAGAGCCGGATCAGCGTTGGGTGGTCTGGCGTCACACACACACACACACACACACACACACAGAGTGTTTGGGATGAATGCAAATATTGAGTTGATCCTGCCATAAAACAGGTCGTTAGAGTTTGTTAAATAAGCATCACTTGTAGCAGTGCATTTATTGCTTAAGTGCTTTATACAGATCGCTTCACCCAAACAAATGCAGCGTTCGTTCAATGAGTTTTTTGAAATTGAAGCCCTTAAACTCTTGAAACCAGCCATATTTATCAAATTATCAAAGGTACTTGTGAATTATTGAAAGACAGGTTTAATTTTGATCTTTTCATGCAAAATGAACACTGATATACAGGGGAAACTCGAAAGTCAAAAGGTGAAACTAATATATAAGACTCATTACATGCAAAGTGAGATCTTTCAAGACTTTATTTGTTATAATTGTGATGATTATGGCTTACAGGTTTTCAAAATTATTCTAATTTTGACCATAATCATCACAATTATAACTAAATAAAGGCTTGAAATATCTCACTTTGCATGTAATGAGTCTATATAATATATTAGTTTCACCTTTACTGAAATAAATGAACGTTTCAAGTTTCACCTGTAGATATAGAGCCGTTTCACATGCCTACAAGTGTGATATTACTCATGTAAATATTCAATATTCATTAAGGAAAAAATCAGGCAAGTGAACTCTTTAGTGGTGTCCTTCTTTCAAAGTTTCCAGTCATTGCATCTGCTGCACTTTATTTGTACCGTTTTGTTTTATTAGTTTATTTTGATTGATTTATTTACCTTTTTTTTTAAATCACTTTTGATAAGTGAGATATCTGATTGTAGTCCTTGAAAACCAAAAATGTAGTGCTTGAAAAGTCCTTGAAACTCCTGGAATTACATTTTACAGTGCGTGTATGAACCCTAATGTTATAATAATTTCAAAGTGCTTTACACAGATGATACAGTTCTAAAATAACAATAACAGAATCAATAATGCAAAGTTGTCCAAAAATGATCATCTCTCCAGAAGACCGTGTGTGATGGTGTGTTTCAGGGGAACGGCGATCTCCGGGATCGTGTTCGGCGTGGTGTTCCTGATGGGTGCCGTGGCCGCCGTCGTTCTCTGCATCTGTGTGTGTGTGAAGAACGGGCGCGGGGCGAGAGTGGGCGTCTTCAGCTCCACACACATCAACACCGTGACTCAGGGTTACCCAGGTAACACAACAACACACACAGAGCGCTCTCTCTCTCTCTCAAAGTGATCTGCTCTTTACTAGCGTTAGCACATACACAGATTATTTATAGTTCTCGACTAGCATTGTTTTAAATGTTACTACTTGTTTTCCAGAGAATAACAAATATAACAACAATGTCATCTGAACACAGAATAAAGGAAGAAGTTAGCAATGTATAACTGACTAAAACAAGGAAAACATAGATAAAATAAATAAAAAGGTCATGAGGGTAACATTTTTATACATCATTTAGTTTACACAAATTAAAGTCATTACAATTTATTTTAATTGCTTTCTTATTTAGTGTTATGGTACATTTTAAATTCTTTATTTATTTACCTTTAATGGATTATATTTACCTTTATGGATATAAATATATTTGCCAATAAATTAAATTAGTAACAAAGCATGTTTTTTTTTTTCAATGTATCCAAAAATAATGTCTTTAAAGGTTACTGATATCTGGATGTTATCTTTAATATATATGTCAATATTAGTTGTTTGGTATAGAAACATGACCAAAATATATGATAAACAGTTTATGTGTGAACTTGGAAAAATGATCTTTTGGCAATATTACTTTTATATTTAATCATAAAATATTTATTATTTGTAGGACACTAATAATTTTATCCCATATTTCAATAAAATCATGTTTATTTACTATTTCATTACATTTTTTAACTATTAAACTACCCTTTTGAAAGACTTTTACAATTACCAACCGTTCACAACTAATTAAAACAATACTAAGCTGTTTTATACAGCTGTACTGTGTAAAGTAATTTTGTATATATAAATATACACACATGAATGTATATATTATATGTATGTATAAATATTAGCATGTGTATATATATATATAATGTAATATAATTGTTCTTTATATACATGCATGTGTGTGTATTTATATATAAAAAGTATACACGATTATATTATGTAAACAAACTTTTGTTTTGGTTGTGATTAATCTTTTCACAGCACTACTTTGTTAGATTTTTTTTTTTTAGGCTGTGAAACGATCAAATTTTGTGTTTACATAATAATATATGTATGTATATATTATATATATATGCATGTATAAATATATTAGCATGTATATATACACATACATAATTTATAGAAATATTTTAAATATAGATACATTTTTCTTAAATTTGTTTTTACATCATAAAAACCAGCTGTTTTAACAGTGGTGTTTAGATCTACTGTTTAATAATCTGTGCATATGTAATGATATGCGCATATTTTCAACATTTAAGCATGCAAAACAGTTGAGTTCCTCCTAAACCGTCATAAACAGGAAGTGCCTATCCTGCAAACATTAATTTCCCGCTCTTTTCTTTGGCAGGTCCTCCTCCTCCATACAGTTATGATTATGAGCTGTATCCTCCTGACCTGCGGCCGCCTCCATACACACCGACTCCACCCCGAGCAAACACACACTCTCCACCTCCACCGTATCCAGGAGACAGCCGGAAATGAGCCTGTGTTCTGATGATGATGATGATGATGATGATGATTGCACAACACAAGACCAGCGCTCTGGGAATAAAGCAGAGGATTTGAATATTTTTGTATTAATGCCATGACATTTATGGTCTCACAAATCTAATGAACACTAATAAAGGTTATTTCCAGCAGCGTGAGACCAGGACAGGCCTATAAACTCATATGATATCAAAAATTTGATTTGTTCAAAATCAGTGTTATTATTATTTTTTTTTTCATGACAAATCAAAATGCTGTTAATATGGGAATAAACTTTATGTGTTTTACAGAGTAACAATATTCTCATACCAACACAAAGTGTCTTGATAAATCCTCTGAGGAAAACATTGTTTATATCCAAAGAAATTTGAAAGGACTTATTTCCGTAATTACGAGATATCAACTCGTATCTAACTTGTAAACTGGGAATGTTCTGAGAGTTCCGACTTGTATCACGTGATCGCAGTATATTACGAAAACACCATGGACAGTAAAAGGAAAACACACCAGTTTTCAGTTCAGTTGCAGCTAACTCTTCTCAGAAAACTACCGATTGTGTCCAAACAGCAGTTTTAACGCGTTGTATACTTCTCAGAATAAAATCGAAGCCTGCATGCTTTTTTGCACAATTTTTTATCATTATGTTTAATTAATTGCGGCCTTTAAAAGCATTTTTTCCTCACAGTCAATAAACTACACTAAAATACAGATATATTTCATTCAGAAACCCTCTGAACGTCCACACGGGGGCAGCAAATAACTGAAGTCTAATGCGCATATTCTCTACCTGCAATATATACAAGACATTTAAGGCCTTTTTTTATTTATTTTTACAAATGCTAAATAAAATGCATGTATTAGATGAGCAATAACGACAGAAATGATAGAAATTATATTTACAGAAATTATATTTAAAAAATGTAAACAATTTGTAACAAAAATCGATTGAAAACAAATCTGAAGAGTAGGCTAATATATATATATACATATATATATATATATATATATATATATATATATATATATATATATATAATAAAAAATAAACCGATTATGTTTTAAAAATAAAATAGCCTAATAAAGAAACAAATTGATTCAAAAACTATTTTTAAAGATTACATTTTTTATCACTATATTAAAAGATTTGATGGCTGCTCATAAAATGGCAAACAAGGTGAAATAAGCAACAATGAATTATGTTTGTAAAAAATACAAATATATATATATATTTAAAATAAGGTAAAATAAAGATTGTAGGTGTAAGAGTAGTCTTGGATTTTATTTTAGTGTTAGTTTGCAGTGTTTTCAGGCATTCCCTGCCCCCCTCCCACACTCATTCCCACGTCGCGTCACATGACGCGTTGTTCCTCTGACTCGCCTTCATCGCAGGCGCATCGCATTCTTCTGGGAGTCGACACGAAACACACACACCGACATTTTACACCGAACGGATATATTTACTCGATCAAACCCAGCACTGTTTGTTGGACGCGCCGAGGAGAGCAGCAGAATGGGCTGTCGAGAGGTTTTCGTGTTCCTGATGGTCGCGACATCGACGCTCGCTGAGGTAAGACATCGACAAAAGATCGTATCGCGACGCGGAACGCTGATCAGTGTGACCATCAATGTAACAAGTCGATTCAATGGAACGATCACAACAACGTTAGATAGCCTACACAAGAACGACTATATATATATATATATATATATATATATATATATAACAGCGGCGACTGTACATTTCGTCAGCAAACATCGCGATGATTATTATTTATGCGTTCAAAACGAGGTTAAATTATTTTATTTTTTTAGTCATGTAATATTACACAAGGAATTGTGTTTACTCGGTTGGTGTGGATTTTTTCCGGTTACATTGTAAATATTTCTCGCGATGTACAGACGCGGAATGTATCGTGCGATCTTTTATACCCAGAGTGAGAAAAATGCTACTGTGTAACAGATCCACTAATTCATGTTAAAAGAAAACTGTCACATCATAAATGCTCGATCTGCTGCGGTCGCGTGATTGTCTTTATGAACATAATTTGACAACATATTCAGTGCTTTACACACGCATTGCTGATTTCTATCGACTCTGATTTGGTTAGTTAATGGAGGAATGCGTTCAGTGGCCTGTTGGGATTATCATGATGGGATCAAACATGAATCCTCTAGGAATCAAATGAGATGCTATTTGGATAATCTGGGACTGAATGTCAGGATCTCGTTTGGACTGATTTCAATCAACCGTGTTGTTGTTGGTGGGCATTATTTTTATGACGTCAATAATTGTATCCATTAAAATTACACATTTAAACCTTTTTACCTTTAAAACGTTTTCATGTCTTAAAATATCTTGACTGTAACTCGACACCTTTGTCTCATTTAGTATACGCGGTTCTATGGATATGCAAATGAGCCCCGCCTCCACTCACTCATTCAGGTCAGAGATCCACTGCACGTTGATATGATTGGTTACAAGGTGGTTTGTGACGTCAGAAACACCAGCGATTTCAAAGCGTGTTTTTGAGACTGTCTTTGGTTCACTGCAGTTTTAAGGAGGTAATACTCGACTTATGAACTTCCACATGGTTTAAGTGTATTAAAAACACCACATACACACATAAACAACATTAAAAGCTGGATTTTAACCACTGGGCGACGTGTGACTCGTTAAAATGTACCACTGCTCTTGTCGCGTTAATATCACTAGAAACTTTCCGTTGTGTTCCCTTCCCTGGTTTGCAGGTCTTAGCTGGTTTAAGGTGGTCTAGCTGGTTTCCCAGTCGAGCCAAGTGGTCTAAACCATTCTAAAACCAGGTTGGAAGACCAGTTAAAACCAGTTTAGTCTGGTTTTAGCTGTTCAAGATGGCCTGAATTCAATGGGATGAAACTTCAGCAACATTGTGTTTTTCGAGGAACACGCTATCGCTATTTTTAAACGCTAACAAGCGGTTTAAGTTTATTTTTACTTTAAGACACCATTGTTTTCGCTCTTGTGTAAGCCTGTAATCCTCCACCGCACAGTCTGGCCACTCGAGTCTCACCACATTACAGACTTTTGAAGGATATTATAACAAGCCACTGTGTTAAAACCATCGATTTTGGGCATTTGCCATGGAGTACTACTACGCCAATACCATTATATATGAATATTGTGTGAAATACCGTGGTATTACTCCCTGACTCCATCCATCACAGCTCTTTGAAGGCATTGTGAGTGAGTGTAATGACGCTCCGTTTACCAGTTAATAGATGTCAACATTAACTGGAGCTCAAGTTATTTTTGATGTCATTAATTGTGAGATGTTGATTCGCACTGAACTGCGTTATATTAGTGTTTAATTACTTTTTTTGGTCTTGCCACCAAAGGGTCTGGAGAAATGGAGGTTCGATTTAAAAATATGTTTATATTTAATATATAAGCATCTCAATGTTTATGTATTTATCTAAAATTACTAAAATAGAGAAGAACCTTCATTTGTTTCAACCATTAATGCCAAGAAGTGAATCTTACAGAGGCGTATTGCATTCACTTAAAGAAAAAAATCTACTCTGTTTTTCTGAATTAACGAGTTAATTTTTCATGAGAAAAAAAAATTGCTCTGTTTTTCTGAATTAATTAGTTAATTTTTCGTGAGAAAAAAAGTTTTTGCTCTGTTTTTCTGAATTAACGAGTAAATTTTTCATAGAATTTTTTTTTGCTGTGTTTTTCTGAATTAATGAGTTAATTTTTCATGAGAAAAAAAATATTTTGCTCTGTTTTTCTGAATTAACGAGTTAATTTTTCATGGATTTTTTTTTTTTTTTTTTGCTCTGTTTTTTCTGAATTAACGAGTTAATTTTTCATGGAACTTTTTTTCTCATAAAAAATTAACTCATTAATTCAGAAAAACAGAGCAAAAACTTTTTTTCGCATGAAAAATTAACTCGTTAATTCAGAAAAACAGAGTAGATTTTTTTCTTCAAGTGAATGCAATACGCCTCCATAGAGCCTGTTTCCCACATACAATTATTCATTAAATAAATCCAAAAAAATCTATAGTTCATTTCTGTGAGTGAGGAGAGCAAAATAAAGTAAACTGGGACATATTACACCCAATAACTCTTCATACAGCGACTACCAGTAAAGATTGGGAGCAGAAATGATTCGGACACTTTGAGCTGATAATGTTTTGCTGAAGTGTGTTTTCAGTAATTACACACACACTGAACAACATGAAGCATTGCTTGGTCACTGGTTGAGCTAAACTGGTATTATCTAATTGTGTAACAGATATTCAACATGATTCATGTGTGAGAGTCCAACAGAAGGTCAAATATCCACTGATCTGAGAACTGAGTTCTGCTCATGTTCATCACCATTATAGCCAATAAACTGAGATAATGAGAGACATGTTGAAGGAGTCTCAATAGATTGTGGTTTGACTGTACATATGATTAACTAAAATATTTCTTCTTTGACTCGTGTGAATGTTTTTGAGTGATAAAAAGCGCATTAATCTGATGTTGTCAGCAAAACCATCACAGATGCACTGTAATACTAGGGCCGAGTTGTTGTTGATAATTGTCTTTGTGTTCGTGTGTGTGTCGTATGAAACGCCATATTGCCTGTTCTCTGTTGTGATTATCCGCTGTGGTCCAGAACCGTCGACCTGTGATGGTCACGTGACCCACGCTGGCATTCAGAGCCGGCTTTGAGATGAGCGCTGGGCTCACACACACTGAATGCACGGCTTTGTTGGCGGTAACATGACGTGTCAGCAGGTGAGCGGTGTGTGTGTGTGTGTGTGTGTGAGCGGTGAACACAACAGCTTCTTGAATAATCGGGATGAGTTTGTGCAAAACCCGCTCGTCAGCTTACTCGTGATATATTTTTGTGCCAATATGTAAAATTAAGCAACAATATCTCAGATTTGCATTAGTCTTGTTTCTCAATGGTTCTTTGGCTTGTCTTAATTTTGCTAAACTTTAAAAAATGATTTCCAAAATCAAAGTAAATAAAAAATATCGGAGAAAATACTTGCGAAACTTGTATTCAATTGTTTGTGAAATTGCTTCTACACCAATTTTTTTTTTTTGAAGTAGGAAAAAACAATTAATTAAAATTAAACCACTCAGAAATGCATTTTTTTATAAATTATAAATAAAAGTGCATAAACTTTGGTGGATGTATATCATGATTAATTTGCACTGTGTCACACAGAAGTCTTGATGTACAACATTAATATCTTTTAGTAAAACATGTAGCCAAGTGTTGTGCTTATAAATGTATAAAATGCAAAAATAAGAGTATTATTCATTGTTCGTTTACTGTATTTTCTTGCGTTAAGTGATTTTAGCGCGAGAGACGTTGCATCCTGCAGCCCATCCCCCAGTAACGATGCTTTGATTCATGATTGTGCGCTGTTAGTCGGACTGGGCGGATTGTAAAATCCAGGAAGCGCACACACACACACACACACATATATATGTATATAAATGCCCCAGTGCAACTGTCGCCATGGAAACAGCCCCGCGGAGGGTCGTTAATAACGAGAGCGCTGCGAATTACACATCCATGTCACATGACAGATGCTTCTAGTTATTAAATTTGACCTTTGACCTTCACAGGGAAGCGCGATTAGCACGTCCCGCGTGGCCTCGTCCCACAGGAGGATTGATGATGCCGAACACGCGTGTGTGTTGCGTGTCATTGCATGAGAAGGATCTGCACTGTAAAAGCTCTCGCAGTGTGACACACATGCAGGTGTTATTAGTGTTGCTTATTCTGATTTAGACCACGCATGTTAAATAAATGAAATCAATAAACTGATTTATTATTAATTGTTCATAGCACACTCCCAGCTAACAAGTACTTTTCTCTCAAACGTGATATTTCTTATTCTGATTTAGACCACAGATGCACATTATCGTGTATAGATGAATCTATGTTCAATATAATAACTAATATGACACTCCCGGCTAAGAGGGAATAAGTTATGAACAAGCGTTCTTCCAGTAACATTAATAGAATGTTTGTCCAACGTTATCTGGACTGTAACTGTAACATTTTTTAAATGTAACTAATTGTTTCGGAATGTTCAGAGAACGTTCAAAAGTAACATTCCTCTAATGTTTGAAGAATGAATCTATGGAATGTTCAAACAAAACACATTTTGTTTTAAAGCTCTAATAAACGGGATGTTTTGAACACTGATCATGGAGAAGATCGCGTCAGGCGTTTCGGCAGTTTTGATTTATATGCTGTGTAATATTTGATGATTGCATTATAATTTACAGGGTTTTCCTTTTTCAATTCCAACTCATCCTTTCTCGCCTCTTTCAAAAAGAAGCTGATTTTACCAATTTCATGGCTTTGAAAGATAAAAATCCTTCTTTGCTAGACCTAATGATTCTTTTGGTGTATACAGGCGACACTCGAAAAATTCGAATATGCAAAAGTTATAATTTTGATGATTATGGCTTACAGTTTATGAAAATCTCAGAAAATTAGAATATGAAATCAATAAAAAAAGGATTTTAAATACAGAAATGTTGGCCCTCTGAAAAGTATAATCATGCATA